TAGGTGCGTTCTACATGGTCTCCCTGAAAACAAGACCAAGTTGCGACAACGAGGTCAACCCACTTCTCGAAATAACTTCAATTGAGAATCTATATTAAAGAAGATTAATTAAGGATGAAGATAAGAATAAAAGGGACGTGCAAAAAGTGGGGGTATAGTGGCTAACTAAATGATACCCGAGATTTTACTAGGTTAAATTTATTTTTTTTGAGTAAAAATTGCTAAAAGTTATTTGGATATATGCCTCACTCATAAGAAGTTTATCTTTAAGTCAGCGCTAGGGAAAGAAAAGCAGAGCTACTTGTATTGGAAACAGATTCAAGAAAGTGAATGATAAGCAAAGTAGATTAAAAAGAGATACATCATGTTATCCTTCATATATAACCCTATACCATGTAACTCTAAGGTCGTCTAAATTTTTAAGGCTTAAATTCCGTAATTATTTGTAAAATCTAACTAGTTAACCTTAAATTTAGGGCTTAATTGCAACCTCCAACAATTATATATTCACCAGGCATTGAAGCAGATCTCGTCTTACACAAAATCACCATCGTACTTGTCAAAAATGAAAAATAATTTTGAATTAAGAAATCCCACGAGAGTTAGCTACAGGATATATATAAAGCTACAACTGGAATTCGTAGTCAATGTTTATCAAAATACACATTTTTCTCCCACTTCACGAACCGAGGCTTCTAATATTTTCTTTGATTCCTCATGACATCGGAAAGATGATAAAGCGACGTTGGAAAGTGTTGTTGGCAAGGGGAACACAACCGGCTGCCGCTGAACAGGTATTTGCGATTGAATCAAAGGAGGCTGATCCGAATGAAAGGACATTGCTTTACTTGGTTGTGGTAGTTGGTATTGCTGGTGCTGGGTGTGATGATGTTGTTGCGGTTGGTATTGCTGATAATGTTGAAAGTGGTGCACAGAAAGGCCGGCCGATGCCGACGCAGGTGGCTGGTTTGCAGGAGATAGACCTACTGCGGGGACAGTGGCAGCATATGAGATCGGTGAAGATGATGGCGAACCAGTAGCCGAGAAGGCAGGGAGCCCGAGAATTCGGATCTGACGACCCAACGGAACATTAGGCACACTTACGGAAGACGATGAGGTAGCTAGAGGCATGTTTGAGGCGCTTTGCACAAAGGGAGTAGAATTTACCAAACGGCGTCCAGCTGAAAGTGTAAAAATTAAAGTTGGTGAAAATTAGAGTCTGAGGCAAAAATAAAAAAGCACAGAAAGCCCAGTTTGAAATTCTATTGACAAAACTATTGTGTGAAAAAATACTTTAGTGATTCGCTAACAAATGTCAGCAAGATTTAGTAGCACACCCAAATAATATGAAATATTGGATATGTTGGTTTAATGGCACAGAGGGTTGTTTCATCAATACAGCTAATAGTTGCTGGTCGTAATATGAATAGTTAGTAGTACACTAGAATAAAACTATATACGAATGCCTTGACATTTAAATAGGAGCTAAGTGAAAATCAGTATTAGGCTTGACAAATCGTGAATGATATGCAATTAGAAGTATGTGGTTCTGTTTAAGAAAATTACATGTAACACGTATAAATAAATAAGTAAAAAATTATTTTATTAGTTAAAAAGTTCCCACAAATGATACTATGAAACGTTAATAACATATAACATATACAATTTAAAACGTAAATAGGACGAAGTCGTTGAGGACAACTTTTAGTAAAAGCATAATGATAATGGAAAATATCTTGATATTTGACCCTGTAGAACAATCAAATCAGAATGAAATCGATAAAGCAATGTTGAATATGTAAATTATGAGGATAACAATTCTCCCGACAAAACGTCTCTATGAGTTTACTTTGCCATCAGAATTGGTAAAAATAGGCTTACTTCTTTGCACAACGATTAAATTGTTATTGGCTGATGTCGCAACAGCACCAGATACATGACAGGATTGCAAAGTCTGCTGCTGTGCTTGATGGTGCTGATGTCCGGAATTCGCAGGTATGATTATAGCTCTCTGCAGTTGACTAGTTGCAGATAAAGAATCCGATGCAGAGGCGACGGAACCAATCGCCTGTGAAGAAACAATGGACGGAGCAATTAATGCAGATTGCGTAGTAGCAGAGGTGGTGGCGGCGGCTGCCTCTGCCAAAATGCTTGAAGCAGTATGAACCAATATAGGTTGTGGATGGGACGATGTCTGGATGGAATGAAACTGTTGCTGCTGCTGTTGCAAGTGAGTATGCTGATACTGGGCAAACTGATGAGACGCATGAAGAGGTCGGGGACATACAGAAGATCCACCAACAGCTGGAGAACTAGAAACTGTGGGGCCGGCGCTGCTAGTGACAATCAGAGTGTTTACTCCGCTGACGGGGCGGTAACCTAGAAAAAGGAGACCAAGTGTAACCAATTAAATCAAAAGCAATTTGCAAAAAAAACGTTTGATCTCTAGTAAATGCAAGTAGGCATTATACATTTGCGAACTCTTGCACAAGAGAGCAGTGATCTCTGCCAAAGAGTCATGAGAGTCAAATAAAGCATGCTAACCCATCCCTTGTACAAAACGAAAACGAAAGCTTAAAGACAAATAAGA